TTCTTGCATCCCTTCATTGGCTTCCTGTAAAATTTAGAATCAATTATAAGATCTTACTGGTCATGGTTTGAGTTAATGGGGTTTCGTCGATATGCACCTCGGTGCGAAGTTTGTCTGCCAATTCCAGAAAGTACAATTAAAGGACCGAACAAATCGTAGTATTGTGGAAGGTCGGTTAATGTTTGCCTTTATGTAAGTTACTTACCAGAATGATTTACCAATTATTATTATGGTAATTTGGTTGTTTACTTACCGTAACTTTTTACCACACAGTTCATGATAGTTACATCACTATGCCTGAACAGGTTTGGTAATACTTAAGCTTATAATACATCAATGACTGTCGAGTAGTTGTAGTTACTGCGAATATTTTCGTTGTCATAATTTTTTAGTGTCTAACATGTGTCTTACACTGAGGTAATATGATACTTGCATGGATTTCCGGTGTGATTAACTATCAGCAATCATTAAATGGATAATGTACATGCAGTATAGTATTATGATTCATCTCTTGCGTTTGATTTCATCAGTGTCTATGTAGTTCAATATATTTTCTGGTGTTTTCCTATTCTGGTGACTGTGAGTTAGGAGTTATCTTCTTCCCGTGCGAAAGGTTTGATGATTGTAGGTTAGACTGGTACGATCAGGTTGCACTATTTTATGGTTGGGGTTTTGTCAGCTACTCGGTCGACCTTCCATGTCCGCGCTTTTCTGTGGTAGGGCGATGTTGTAATTGGGTGCCTATTAAGTGTTGGTTCTGGCGAATTTCATCGGTGAGCAGTAGCATTTTGTTGTCGTTTCGTGCTCCTGCGCCTCTTCCCCCTGTTCTGCATCCGTGCAGCGTCTTGTTATACGCTACACGTTTACATGTGGTTTGTCTGGTCTCCTTTTCCTCGTTCTTTCCTGTTCCTCTCTTCCATCGAGCTATAGAGGTTATTTATGTCTGGTTGCAGTAGTGCACTCTTTGTTATATCTTGGATTACTTTGGCCAGATGGCCCATGGTGTTCAAGTGAATGATTGGGTACTGATCCTGTGCAATGTCGTCTATGATGAGAATAGATTTGGGGGGGAGGTGGTGGGCAAGCGAGCGAGCGGGGGGAAGGGAAGGGCGAGCGAGCGTGGTGCGAGGGTGGGGAGAGAGGGGGAGAGACGAGAGATTTGTTCTGATATGTTCGATGCTTGAAGGTGTAATTTAACTCCTCCTTATTTTTTCGTTAGTAGTCATTATTTTTTGTCCATGTCAAGTTCTTATTCTATTATCTGAGATATGTTTTAAGAGATTCTTTTGATATTAGTGATTTATTTTCAGTTTGGTATTTATTGAGTCTTTGGGAGCTGATATATGAACAGCACTATTGGTGCATTATTTTTTTATTTTGTGGGTTATAGCTTTATACAGAATGTGAATATATGTCTACTGTGTTTGGAATGATGATAACCGATTGTGTTTAGTAGCTTTGTATGATCGAGACAACAGTGTTATATCGAATAGACTATTCACTTGGTAAATGTCTAAATAGATGTGTTCTAACTTGATGCGATCTGGGTATGTCTTTCCTGTACTTTAATCATTGCAAAAGAATGTACTACGACAATTGCAATTTGATGAATTGAATGAGAAATTCAATTCATTGTGAACAATTGCCAAGTGGTTTGGAGTTTTCATGTTAGTGTTTGGAATTGTATGTTTCTGTTCAGAGAATGTATGCCATAACCTAAATGAGATTACTTAAACTTATATAGTGAGTTGGATTTTTGATGTAAACTTCTCTAAAAGTATAAAAATTATTTCTGTTGCTACATTCCTATTGTGTTGGTCGGGGGGGTGGGGGAGGTGTTGGTGCTGTCTGGTGTATTTCTGTGATTCTGTGATGAGTTTATGGAAACTTCACAGTCTCTCAATATATTGCACCAGGAGAATCTTGTGATCGCGTGGTGTGCAAGGGTAGTACACTGTGTACAATAATAACAGTATCAGTTGAGGACTGATCAGCTGAGGCCATTCCCTGTCAATATTTTGCTGAATCTGACAGCTCGAGTTGCAGTGGGTCTGTGTGGTCTCTGAGATAATGTGGTATTGTTGATGGGTGGTTATGTTGTAGTTTGAGTTGGGAAAGTCTCAATTCAATATGAGAATAGACAGTGGCTTTGATTTGTTCTACGGATAATTTTCATATCAAGTTGCCTACAGCGAGGGACACTTGTTCCGTCTGTGCGCCGAGGTGGTTTTCTGTCGCACATGGCTTAAATCGTTATGTTTGTTTTGTTTATTGTTGGCTGTGTTATTGTGACGGCTATTATTATCTTGTATAATTCGATGAACTTGTTGAAAATGCGTGGCCCCAGTAATAGGCTTCGTCATCGTCATTCGAATGTCGGTCTATTAGGGAGGTGTTGTTGATTGTCGGTTTTCAGCAGAATCGCTGTGGAAATTGTCGTTCTGCGCCGTCTAGAATGTTAAATGGCATCATTACTTTGGTCTACTGAGGGTAGGTGATGGGACGAAATTTGCATTCATTTGGTAGACATTACTGGAGAGTGGTCTATCTCGATGTCCGAATTGACAAAAGGCGACCTTTTATATGCAACTTTGTGGAAAGGTTTGGAGGAAAAAAATGTTGTTGGTAGCGATGGAGGCAGAATATTATACAATATCTAATTCGTGATACTGTCAGCATGCTGATCTGCTCCAATCAAAGCGAGAGTACATATTGTACTATTGTTGTGCAGCCAGCAGTAGAGTTAAAGGACAAGCGTTGCTAGTAGAAGTCCAAACAGAGATGCTGACATTTCAGCATGTCAACAGCCGAGCTGGATGGCAGCTGCACATTTTTATATACATTCAGTTGCATGAATCACACACTACTACGACTACACTTACACTAGGGTGCTATCTTCAGGGTGTGAAGTAGAGCGCACTACACACGTCCGCATCTTGCTAGTGATTATTGGTAGTTTTGGTAAAGGTGTTAAAGTGGATGCTAAACGATTGTTCGTCTCTCATGCCAAAAATAAGCTTGACAGATGATGCCGATATTTCATTGCTTGTGTAATGCCACCTGTATTAGTTCTTTATTCCTGAACCTATGCACAACATTCACCAGAGGGGCCTATCTTGCCGATCTGAAATGCAGTTCCAAACGCAAAACGCGAAAGTAGCTTTGTGGGCCGGATCTCGGGCGCTGTTGCTATTATACCAGCGGTTACAATGACTCTTGCGCCGCGCTAATCTAAAATGGGTTGGTCTGAAGTAGCTACATATAGTCATAGGTGGTGGTTTGGGTGTAACATGCAATTAAACCAATCAGAGCATCATCTCAACATTCCCTTTAAAAGCAGGCCGCTTGTTCCAGGCAATTGCTATTATAACGGCGGATTTGCCAGTGCGCACGCCAGGAGCGGTCACAGCCAGGAGACCGGACGTTCTCGTCGGGCCGTAAAACACCGAGGAAGTGACATTATTGACATGAAATAACACAGCCATATCAATCAATTAAACAAGTAACGCAGCTTCAGCAGGAATATACCTGCCTCGGGAGCAGTGGCGCAACGGCCAGCTGAGGAGGAGCAGCGCCAAACACCAAGGTGCAGAGGACCAGAACCATACAAGCCGGAATACCACCAACGTTCCTTCAGCAACCGGTTTGACATGCTGGAGCGGGAAGCTGTCCGGGATGCGCAAAGTATTAATCCGTCTTGACGGTGATGTCTGGCGGCTCTCAGGCGCATCCCCTCAAGTCTGCGTCCTTAAAATAGTCCCTGTGGGGAACTGTTTTACGAAACAGCAAATAGCACCAGGGACATTTGGCACCGGAACACGCCTCCCTCTTTTCGCTGAAGCCGCCCCCGGAGCGCAAGTTCCATTCCTAATTAAAGACAGTGCTTCTGTGGAGGAAAAATTCCAATGTGGCTTCGAAT